GTCGTCTCCTAACCAAGTCGCCCACTTGACTAATATTGAATATTATTATTAACTAACCTTTGAAACTTATTTAGAACTTATCTAGGCCAAGGAAAGAGCTAGTGAGACCGATGTAGGACCGGTTCGACCGTGAACAAATTCGGCCGGGATATATTTGTATGGAACGCAAAGTAGGCGCAAAGCTGTGCATGCTGTACGTGTGGGTGTGAGTATGTGTGTGTGTGTGGTTAATCTATTCGTGCTATCCATTAGTATTTCGTGTTTTTGGTCTTCTACGTTGCCAAATAATTAATGTGGTTTTAAGGAAATCCGGGCATTATTATGCTGCCATTAGTTTGCCAAAACAACAGTGGATTTTATTAAGTTTTTGTAAGTTAATAATTAATGATTTAGATGGCATATATTTCGTTTTATTTATCTAAAACAAACGAATGTACATTAAATATGCATGGACCTATTAATAAGGACATACAACGTAAGAGAGGGGCATATCACATAGTAGGCCTACTTATCGGAATAAACAACGGTACCGTTAATCGTTACGTCAATTCCAGTCTGGGCATGCGCATTAGGCTTTTGTTCGACTTCCGGTATCGCCGCGCTAAGTTTGTTTTTAATTAAGCGCTAGGCCTACACATCGAACTGTTAGAAATGCGGAATATGGACGAGATTTATACAGACTCTTCCGATTTAGATTTTAGCGATAGCGATGCAGAGATCGACAATAATATAGGAACGCAGATGCACTGTATATGTGAACAAAACTCAGACGATGAAATGATTGCATGTAGTGGTCCAAACTGCACGATTAAGTGGTACCACTTCAACTGCGTGGGCTTGACATCAGACAGCTTTCCTGACGGTGACTGGGCTTGTGAACAGTGCGTAGCCGCTTCAACATCAGCGGACCCTAGCGACCGACCGGGGCCTAGCTTGGCTTCTATACCCTCTGTTGAAAAAGGTACTCTATAATTTTTGTTTTGGGTTCTTCATAGGCTAAAACGTGGATATATTACTCTACTATTAATAACCCTTCGTTACATTATAGCAATAAATTCTTATAAAAAAAATAATAGAAATACAGATAAAGAGTCAGATTATTATTATTATTATTATTATTATTATTATTATTATTATTATTGTTAATATTGTTATTATTACAGGAAGAAAGCAGAAATCTAAGGCAAATCAGGATGGAACTTGTGGCGAAACAAACACACCAAAAGAAAAGAAAGGTAGGTTTTGTGAAGCTTATATTTATTATTGACCAGTTAATATTAATTGAGGCCTGGAAATTATTTTTACAAACCAAGGTTAATACTACCGGTATCATTATTTATTAGAATCTGATAAAATCTTGAAATGAAGGTGTGATTGTCATTGGGTTGTTGCTGCTGAATCCAAAACGAAAATATCATGAGTACAGTAGTTAAATTATTTGTACAGTATTTCGTACTTTAATCTTATTTTTATTTCCAGGAAAAAAAAGCAAAAGGCCTGCAAGTGTTTTCACCAAAGAGGATGCTGAGAGGGAGGTGAAAGGTCTAATCAACAGTGCTCTAGCAGCTTTAGAGTGTCACCCAATCTATAGTGGCCCATTTGCAAACAAGGACAAGATATTGGGACTAATTACTTTACTTCGGACATACAATGACGACGAGTTAGCTTGTTTTACTGGATTATTAGTTTCAGAAGTTTGGGATGCTATTCGCTGTGCAGACAACTTGTGTCTTGGCCCAGAAATGTATGAAAGAATAACTATTAACATACATACTATTATGTTTAATGCTAAATTAAGAGAGGCATGGGATGCTGTCACTAATACAGAAAACGCTATAATCAATGGCATTGTTTTGATGTTTGTTGTTAAGCATGTGGCAACGAACATGATGCGTTTGCGAAACGAGAAGGACAAGTCCAAAGTGGACTCTTATTAAAGGGCCATGATATATGCAATCATATTTTGATAATCGTGTTGTATTATCAGGTCTTTATGCTACAAATTAATTAATGTGATTTTAAGCAATTCAATGGCATTAATACTGCGATGAGTTTGCGAACAAAACAGTGGATTTTATTAGGTTTGTGTAAGTTAATAAATGTTTTAAGATTCATATATTTCGTTTTATCGATTTGAAAAAAAACGAACAGTGGATTTTATTAGATTTGTGTAAGTTAATAATAATGTTTTAAGATTCATAATATTTTTCGGCTTATCTATTTGAAACAACCGAATTTATATGTTGATAATCAAACCAAAGGATTTTATTATTTTCATATTACAGTGTCGATGCATATATTGAAGAAGAGGAAGAAGAATGTTGATAATATTAATATACTGCCAAATTTTATTATATTTTTCGTAATATTATTAAAGCTTACAGTATTTGATGCTTTATGTTTCGTTGTATATTATTTCTAGGCCTATACGTTCCTAAATGATTGATTGATTTAAAGCAGAAAGTATATAAACGCCACAAAAAATCACATTATTGATACCCCGACCAGGCAGCACTCAAAATATCCGACTGATTATAGGCTGCCGACCGACACTGTTTTTTTTTTCCAATGATTTTGTGTATTATTTTAGAAAAAAAAAACACATGCAATACATCGCCCTAAAATCAAGAACTTTAACTGTAAACGCCCATTATTGAGAAGATGACAATAGAAATACACGTTTCCGTGGTTACGCTTGTATTAGATGGGGCAAAACATGCCCATTCGTGCAGAACAAATGTGTGTCTGCCGATTGATGAATCACCTAATGCGAATTCACCAACTGATTAAAAGTTAACCTGGTTTAACGAGCAATAATACTGTTAGAACACACAACAGAGGTTAATGATCATAATCAATGTCTGTATTCGCTTATGTAAAATAATTAATAGACAAGAAAACAACACGTCGTATAGGCCATGACCACAAACCCTACATTATAGGGTCTGTATAGGCGAACAACTCGGGTAACAACTACATTCCTGAACCATCGCACATGTTCGTACAGTTACCATGTACAGAGATCAAGCCAGTCGGCTATTTTCAGCATTTGACATTCTTTCCTTGTCTCCGGTAACGTTCCTGAATTGGCGGCGTACAAAGACTTTGTCTCTGATAACATTCTTGAATTGGCGGCGTACAAAACTTTGTGTCTTTATTCTCCCAAGAGTATCATTGGACCCTACTTGTGGGAACGTTTCCCACTGAATTAATTGTTACTAGGCAAATTATTACTGGCAGATTTATACCTATTTAAAGCAATTTATTTCCATTCATGCCTAGATTTAATTATTAATTAAATATTTAAATACGGTAACCAATCAATCACTTTTATCTGGAACGTATAATCGTCTTGCAAAAGGTACGCTTGTTTAATCGTACTCTACATATATAATTATAATGCAGGATTAATTAATTATATTATATACTTTATTCCAAGATACAAATCAAGTTTCTTGATAAGTTACAGATATAGTTAAATTAAATTTCTTCCAAGCAATAAAGTTTCAACTATTTGCAGGATGAAATAAATGTAAAACACTTCTTAACTAAAAATTATGCTATTAAAACTACTCCGTAAAACAATCAATCTTAATAATAATGTACTAAATTACATATTTAAACGGTATTGTGTTCTTCTAAGTAGAAGTGAAAACAAACAACACATTTTTATTTATACTCTTTATTTCAGAAATTCGATTTTATTACGGATGACTTTCCTGTACAGTATACACCCTAACCTGCGGCTAACATTGCACTGTGATACAGTATCTAATTCACGCATTGATTACATGTACACTACTCGGCGTTCCATACAATAACCCTTATTTTGGGCATTGAATATTTTACGGCCGAACCGGACGTCATAGAGACCGGTGTAGGCCGAGATAAGTTCTAAGTAAGTTTCAAAGGTTAGTTA